ATTAATTTAAGACTTTTTAAGACTTAAGGTCTTAATTTTACATGCATTAATTTAAGACTTTTTAAGACTTAAGGTCCTAATTTTACATGCATGAATTTAAGACTTTTTAAAGATGTGCAGACATCCTTCAGAAATGCATTTCCAGCATCATTTTTGTCTGTGCATTACTTACTGGCGACGGTGAACTCGACCTCCTGCACCCTGCGCCCGGCCTTGTTTTGGGCCACACACAGATAAGTCCCAGAATCTCCCTCCTCCGTCGGACTGAAGACCAGGTCCGGGCCGTCTTGGTYGACCCTGCCCTCTGTGGGCAGGCGCCGGTCTTCTCTCTCCCACCACACCTCGGGCTCTGGTTTCCCGCGGGGCCGTCGGCAGGTCACCCGCTGCAGCGTGTTGGACGCCGTGAACACTTTGGGCATCTTGGGCACAATGTCCTCGATTTCTGCGGTGGAGGAAAGAACGAAAATAACTCAAATAGCAARGTAAAAAGTGTGAAAGATGTGAAAATATGAATTTCTGCTGTTAAATTGGTCTAGAATTCTGATGACATCATTCCAGACCAACAAAAAAATAGTTTTCAAACCAGCACTCTGGTCAAAATTCAACTAACTTGGTGCCATTTTGAAGCTTTGGAGATGGAGAATGTGAAAATAAAAACTCAATATTGGAAAATTTCTCCAGTCACATCTAATCATTGACGATGGAGCGGCCTGACCCTTAAATCCAAACCAGAAGTCGTCAGATTCGCAGCAGTAATTAAAGAACAAAGTGTGCAGCAGAGAGATGAAGAAAGAAAATATAGGTTGAACTTAAAGAGGATTATCTCAGACCTGTGTGAGGGGGGTCACATCAAAACTAACAGCTCCTCAGACCTCCTCCGGTGGAAGTCTTTAGAACTTCAACGACCAAAGAAGAAGTCAGATCTAAAAACATTTCTCTGCAGATCAGAGACGCGAAGCAGCAAGAAACAAATGAGGTGAGATTCAGATTAAACGGTTTAAACTTGTCCCTAAATACTGAATTCTACCAAAATGCCCCATGATGCCTGCTGGGATTACCATCAGATTAGGTGAATTAAGGTATTTAAATGGAGCTGAGCTTCACTGGGTGAAAACTGCCGATACTCTCGTACCTCGTTAATCCCAGCCCTTGAGGAAGGACATTGGG